GCTGCTGGAAAAGTCATTCACATTCTCTTTTTATTTTTCTTATTGTACCAATAATATATACTTACTATTAAAAAATTCAAGAAATACATAAATTACAAGAAAGAAAGCTAAAGTCATCTGATAGCCTTTCACCCACAAGACAAACAAAATTAACATTTTAGGAAATATCTTTTCTAAGCACTGCTTTGTATTTACACACACATACACAACTTTTTTAATTAATTTTTTTTTTGCTTACCACCCCCTCCACCCCCCCCGCACTGCCTTCCATCTCTCTTTTCTGCCTCTAGTGCCCCGACCAATAACCAAAGTAACTTGGTGTTCACTCTCCCAAGCCTCTCTCTGTGTTCATACAGTTATATTCAAACATATGCACATAACAAACATTTCTCACATAACAGCCTGTTGTAAAAATTCCTCTCAGCCTCACTGGTTATGATCCAGCACATTCTTTTTAAGAGTTGTATAACATTTTAGAGACTTTTATAGTATACACTTATTCAACAATTTATTTAACCATTCACTAATTAGTGGGCAGTTACACTGTTTTCCAGATTTTTCCTTGCTGCTAAAACTAATGCTAAAATAAACATTTTTATATTTTATATATTCCTTTGTAATGGCATTTTATTACTCTTAGAGGTTCCCAGAAGTGGAATTATAAATTAAATTTCAAAATCTATTGCTTTCCAAAAACACTATAATATTTCATATTTTGTTTTTCCAAAAAATATTTATTAAGCACTTACTTTGTTCCAGGCACTGTTTTAGGAATTTGGGGTTCAACAATGAAAAAAAAAAAGCTCTCAATGATCATGGAGGTTACATTGTAAAAATAGAATAACAATAAATACAGTAAATAGTTTTCTACCAGAAATGTAGGAAAGCACAGTTTTCCCGTTTTACCATCCGTAATTGGTATTATCATTCTTCTTATATTTTTCCCAATCTTATTGGTGGAATAGTGACCCTATAGGACAGAGTAGAACTGCCCCATAAGGTTTCCAAGGCTGTAATCTTTATGGTAGCAGATCACCAAATCTTTCTCCAGCAGTTGGTGGGTTCGAACCACCAACCTCTTGGTCAACACCCAAGAACTCTACCATTTCGCCACCAGAGCTCCTTTTATTAGTTTGCATTTTCCAGCTACTGGGAAATTTTAACATTTTTCCTAAGTTTATTTAGCTATTTAGATTTCAGTTGGGTGAACTGCCTATTTATAATCTTTACCCATTTTTCTATTGAGTGAATTGTTTTTTCATGCTAGACCCATACTTCTTGTCAATTTTCATGAGCTCTGTGTATATTATAGATATTTGTTTGCCATGTGTTTTGCATATCTTTCCCCCAATATATTGCTTATCTGTTGACCTTATGAATGCTTTTTTTATCATGTAATACTTTTAATGTTTAATAATTTATATATGTCTTTTTTCTCTCTTAGCTTTTGGCCATTTTCTTTGTTATACGTGTAATTATATGTATATATATATAGTATATGTATAGTTTCCTAGGTTTTCTTCCAATTAATTTTTCAATGTTTTTAGTATTCTTTCTTTAGTGCATCCGGAATTTATTTTTTTAATATAGTACAAGGTAGTGTCCAGTTGTATTTTCTTCTAAGTAGATAGTCATTTTTCCAATACCATTTATTAAAATAAACAATCAATTCTCCACTGGATTAAAATACCACCTTTGTCATATATGCATGCCCCATATATGGTGAAATCTGTTGCAAGTTTACTATTCTGTTCCACTGTTTGTTGGTCTATTCCTATTTATGCTGGCTTGATTAGACTTCTTTGATCAGACTTTATTCAGTCATGTGAACCTTAAGATAATTTTATCAATTACAAATTGTACTTGAAAGTACAGTCAATTTATATTAGGAATTAGAAAGTCAATCAATAAAGAGAAGAAATTAAAATAATTATTAAGACAATACTATGTAAAACTTTATGGCAACAAATTAAAAAATGTAGAGGAAATTGAAAATCTATAAATTATATAAATGATCAAAATGGATGCAAAGAGAAAGAAAAATATGAATAGATCAATTTCCATAGAAGAAATTGGAAGTGTATTTAAAGATCTACTATTTAAAAGAGCCCCAGGCACAGATGATTTAACAGCTGACTTCTATCTAGACTATAAAGAACAGATAATTCCAATGTTATTAAATTATTCAAGACCATAGAAAAAAAGAAAAAGATCCAAAGATCTCCCCAATGTATTTTATGAAGCTGGCATCATCTTAATGCTAACACCTCATAGACAAACCTCACTTGGAAATATAGATTTTAATTCTAAATAAAATATGAGCAAGTATGGTCCATCTGTGTGTCAGAAAGAATAATACACTGCAATCAAATAGCTTTTATTCCAAGAATGCAAGAATGTTTCAATATGAGAAATTTTATCCACATAATTCATTACACCAACAAATTAAAGAAGAAAGAATTAGCATATTATAGATACTAAATAGGCACTAGGAACCCTGGTGGCACAGTGGTTAAAGCACTCAGCTGCTAGCTGAAAGATTGACAGTTCAAATTCGTCCACTGCTCCATGGAAGACAGACATGGCAGTCTTTTTCCATAAAGATTTACAGCCTTGGAAACCCTATGTGGCAGTTCTTCTCTGTCCTACAGGGTGGCTATGAGTCAGAATCAACGACAATGGGTTTTTTGTTTTTAAATAGGTACTGGGTAAAATTCATTAGGGGGCAGCGGTAGTTTGTTGGCAGAATTCTCACCTTCCATGCAGAAGACCGAGTTTGATTTCCAGCCAACGTACCTCATGCCAGCCACCACCCGTCTGTCAGTGGAGGCTTGTGTGTTGCTATTATGCTGAATGGGTTTCAGTGGAGCTTCTAGACTAAGACAGACTAGGAAGAAAGGCTTGGTGATCTACTTCCAAAAATGTTAATGAGAACTCTGCATATCACAATGATCCCATCTACAACCAATCATAGGGATGGTGCAGGACCAGACAGCATTTTGTTCACCTGTGCGTGGAGTTGCTATGAGTTGGGGGCTGACTCAACAGCAGGTAACAACAACAAAATTCAGTAGCCATTCCTAATATAGGCCCATAATCCCTTATCCAAAATCCCAAAATGCAGAAGTCTCTGAAAATTGAAATGTTGCTTGAAGTTTGACACCAAAATTTATTTGATGTTAAAGCTATTTAAACTAACATGAAAGAACTACTTAAATACAAAAAGTATTGTTCTTTGCAAAGTATTAGACCTTTTATATAAAAGGCATGCTCAAAAATACTTGTGAATTATTTGTTACTGTGGCTCTCTGTCTTATATTCAAAACTATTGCAAGCCTTTTCTTTTTTCAAGGTGAATTTGAGGAGAAATTATATGAAATATGTGCTTTAAACTTTCTGGATGAAATACATTACTGTGTTTCATTGAATCTAAGACGTCACTTACTGTATGACTTAGATGACTAGCATATATCATTAAAAGGGAGGGAGGGGATGCTGCCAATTACACTGTGAATCATCATCAATTATAAAACATCCTGATTTTAGACATGTTAAAATGAAAAAACAGGTGCATCTTAGAAGCAATGAAATATGGTGTATATATCCAAAGAAAATCAGTATTTACTAACACGTGGTCCTTCATACAAGAGTGGTGATTCAGGTTCCTTCCTCTTTCTTTACAAATTTGTCAGTCTTGGGGATGGGTCAGCTGTAAGGTGGTAGAGTGTGGAGGCTGTAAGGTCAGACTGATAGGACCCCAAACCTGGCTCTACAACTGCCCAGTTATTTGACCATGAAAAAGTTATCTAATGTCTCAAACCTCAGTCCTGGAACAGTAACAATACCTACTTATACTTACTTTGGAGCTCTGGTGGCGCAGTGACCAAAATGTCAGCAGTTCGACTCCATCAGCTGCTCCTTGGAAACCCTGTGAGGCAATGCTACTCTGTCCTATAGGGTCGCTATGACTTGGGATCGACTTGATGGCAACAGATTTGGGGTTTTTTTTTTTTTTTTGGTTTCTTTATACTTACTTTATAGAATTGAAAAGATTATATGAGGTACAGTTTATAAAGTACCCAGCAGTGAGTAAGCAATTCCTAAATAGTAGCTCCAGAGATGAAGGTGATGAGGATGATGATGATCCTAAGAGTCTTTACCTAAGAAAAATCTTTACCGTATTTTCCCACCCCTAAAGAAGAATCCTTGATATTATTGAGAAGCTACAGTAGGCCTTAGATGCCTGTGTAAGTCTGCCCTGAATTTATAGCCTCTTACCTGAAAATCTGAGCTGGAAAGAACTTAAGGTGCTCTAACAAAGCCCTTGCCTTTTATGAAGGAGCACACATGGGCCCAGAGAGGAAATGTGACTTTCCCAAATGACACTAAGCAAAAAATCCCACTGCTGTCGAGGCGATTGCAACTCATAGTGACCCTATGTGACAGAGTAGAACTGTCCCATAGGGTTTCTAAGGCTGTAAATCTTTTGGAAGCCGACTCCCACATCTTTCTTCCGAAGGTGGGTTTGAACTGCTTACCTTCTGATTGGCAGCCAAGCACTTTAACTACTGTGTCACCAGGGCTCCTCCAAGTGACACTGCCACCAGCAAAATTAAGACTAAAACCCAGACCACCAGAGATATTGGCCAGGTTCTTTCTAGAACAACACATGGCCTTCTGCCAAGACTTTTGTCCTCCGAGGGCTAGGATGCTCCCCAACAGGTTCTGGCAGTTGCCTCAGGCCAGATGACCTCTTTGTCCTAAATCCAGTCCTTTCACCTTGCTGGAGCACTTTACCCTGCTCTGCAAAAAAGAAGAATGCAAGGCTGGATCACCCAACCCCTTCTAACTGTATGTTCTGACTTTGCAGCCTTCACTGCCCCCACTCCCACCCACCCCTCTAATTGGTCACCTTGAAAGGGGTTGGGGAACTCTTCTATACAGAAGATTTGAAGACCTACTTGCCTCACATCATCAATCTGCTGTTTACTCCCCGACAGGATGGGAGTGGTGAGCAGCAAAAAGCAGGTCAAGGAGAAGGATAAGGGCCAGTGGAGCCCCGTGAAGGTCAGCACCCAGAGCAAGGCTCCCCCACCACTGCCACCCCTGGTGAGTGATCAGCCCCATTCCTAGCTGCAGAGGAAGAGGAGGGAGAGCATAAAACATGTGGTTCCCTGGGGGCTGCTGCATGACTCCACCCTGCCCCAGCACCATCTCTAGATAACTCAAGGCTCCGATAAATAGGTCTCCTCCCATTCCCTCTCCAACACACATCAGAGTGGCAGTGTAGTAGAATGTTTAGCAGCATGGGCTCTGGAGATAGACTGCCCAAGTTTCAGCCTATTAATTGTGTGTTTTGAAGCAAGTCACTTAACTTCTTTTTGCTTCAGTTTCTGCATCTGTAAAATGGGTGTAATAAAAGTACCTTCCTGACAGGATTGTAACAAGTATGCAATGAGATCGTGTATTGTTTTTAACGCAGGACCAGGGATATGGTTACCAAAAAAACCGTTGCCGTCAGGGCAAGAATTATTGGGGGCTAATCATGTGCCTCATGGTTAGCCCCCAGTAATTCTTGTCCAGTTTTCATTTCTCAAGGGCAACCTTGACAGGGGAAAGAAATCAAAATGGTCAGTTGAGGAGAAGGTGTGTTAGAGAAGCGTCTGGGGCATTTAGCAACATCTTTTGCTTTAACCCCTACCCAGAAGCCCCTGAATAGCACTGTCCCTTGTGTGGAATTGTTGCCAGCATTTCAGAAAGCTTCCTCTCTGGGGGATGAAGCATCCAGATTGGAAGGCGTCTCTCCTAACCTCTGGAGCATGCCCTTGGCTTTTCACTGAACCGCATAGGCATTTTAAACGCAGGTAACTTTCCAAAGGAAGAAAAAAGTAAAATTTCAAATGAAAAAGAAAGTTTTATCATTAGGGGATTCATTTTTCCTGTTGTGCAATTCTAGTTTGTTTACAAAGCAGTTAGGACCCTTTGACAGCTAGGGCTCTCCCCATAGTCGCACTTTTAGGTGACTGTTCACGTACTCCACTGCCCCTAGGGCCAACATAACGCCTTTTGCTTTGGAGTAGTTGAGAGTCATGCCTGGCACCCCCTCTTCTGCTCACTCTCTTTCCACATGTACGTCCAAGTGGTTATTACTTTATCCTAACAGTGACTTGATGGGTGGTGATTGTTAATTCAATTTCATAGATAAGCACAGGCACTTTATCTACCTGCTTCCCAAGTTAGCATAGGGCTTGGCATGTAACAACTTTCAGAAGCAGATCGTCTGGCCTGTCTTCTGAAGTGCTTCTGGGTGGGTTTGAACCATCAGTCTTTCAGTCAGTAGTCTAGCGCTTAACCATTTGTGCCACCCAGCTACTCCTAGTAACAACTAGATGTATGTTAATGAATGAATGATGGAATGGGAAAACTCGAACTTAGAAAGGTTATTTTTCCCAAAGTTATATATTAATAAGTAGTATAGCCTGGATTTTTTTACCTTAAAGAAGTCACATAATATATATTAATTAAGAAAAAAATAAATTATGATTACTCATTAATCCACTACACGGAGATAACCAGAGTTAGCACTTCAGAGCTCCTGCCTCCTGACCCTTTTTCAATGTATTATTTGTTTATATTTTTAACAGAATCGTACCAAACGTACCGTTTTGCAAAATGCTACTTCAAAATTGTGTTCATTAAACATGGAATACAAACAAAAGAATATATGTGACACATAGATAATCAAGTTGAAAGAATAAGAATAAAATGAATACCTATGCCATCAGAAGAAATAGAAAATGACTAGCTCTTTGAAGTGCTCTGCTCCCTGCCCCACCATCCGCTTTGCTCCTAGGCACCACTGTTACAAATGTGTTTATCATTCCTTATCTTTGCTTTTTTATTTTATCACATATGTGTATATTCCTAAACAATATTTAGTCTAATTTTGCATATTTTGAGCTTTAAATTAATTGACTCAAGCAGCATGTATTCTTCTGAGACTTGATTTTTCATCTCAACATTATGTTTGTGAGATTTATCCACATTGATGCATGTAGCTATAGTTCATTCATTTCCACAGTTGCATAGTATTTCATTGCATGACTATACCACAATGTGTCTATTCTCCTCGCGTTGTTCATAAGGGTTATTTCCATCTTTTAAACTTTTTATGTTCTATTAAAACAAGGAGCATTTTTGTATATATCTCCTGCTACACATATGCAAAATTTCTCTACAGGGTATATACCTAGGAATATATTTGTTCAGTTTTAGGGAAACATACTTTTTTAAGATTTTCCCATACCAACAAATTCCCTTTTGCAACTTTGTCTTTTGATAGTAGATCCAGATTTTAACCTATATGCTTGGACTTGCCTCTCCACTCCACAACTGTCTCTTATCAAACAGCTCCAGACATTCTTGCAAGTTGGAGCATCCCATGTATTCTTCTAATCATACTTATGGTCAGTGCAGAGATGGTGGATGTCTGGGGTGGCACTGAGACCCTGGGGAATTGCTCTGGTATGTGTAGAATTTACCTGTGAGACCTCTAAATGTGGCTGCCTTTGTTGGACACAGCAGATCCCCAGAGGAAATCTAGCTGACGTGCGCAACAGGTTTATTTTACTTGGCCTTGCCCAGTATGCAGGGTGTTGAACTAACATAGAATGTGTGTGTTTCTGCTCAAGGTCGTCTTTAATCATCTTGCTCCTCCCCCTGAAGACAAACACCCAGAGCAAGGTAAGAGAAAGGTGGTTTGGGGAGTTATGGCTCCACACGCCCTCTCGCCCAGGCCATGCTTTGTGGAGTCAGAGCGAGCAGCCTTCCCGGATAAAACAAGGCAAGGGCCCTCCATGGTCGGAGAAGTGAAGACTGGGTGGGGGTGGCTGGGAAGCTGCTCAGCTCTATCCTTGGCTGCACGCCCCCCCTTGAGGTCCTCCTGGAACCAAGCACAATTTCCTTTAGTGTGACTGAGCCTGGATAGGATTAAAAAAAAAAAAAAAAGACTTCACAACTGTAAAAGAGAACAAAAAGTAAAGCGTTATAGGAAATACAAACATCATTATCAAACCTAAGCTTTAAAAATTCTAGCTCCCAACCTCAAAAGGCTAGAACCAATTGCCAGCTAGAACCAATTGCCAGCTAGAACCAATTGCCAGCCCTAGGTCTGTTCCATGTGGAAGGTGCCGTCTTGTTTCCCAACACTTTCCCAGCGCACTTTCAAAAGGTCACCTGCCAACCCTCTAATCACTTACACAACCTTCCCATCACCCCCAGTCTCTGCTTCTAATCTGATGGTGACCCAATGAATGACCTCACTTTTCCTGACCCAGGGATCACGTATCAGGCGAGACTCAGCCACTTAGAGGCCACTCACAGGATGGTGGCCTTGTTCAGCACTGGCTTACAGGAGAGCAGGATTCCAACCTTTTAATCCTCCAGCATCCTCATCACCCAATTTACACACAGCAACAGAAAGCGTTTGTCTTCACCAGTCAGGGCCTCATTCATTAATTCACTCACGTAGTATGCACTGAGCACAACTATACACTGGCTCTGCTCAAGGCCTGAGGAAGATATAAAAATGAGTAAGATACGGCTCCTGCCCTGAAAGAGCTCAGAGTCTGGGAAGCTCATGAGCAAAGAGCTGTAGCCAGTTAATGACCTCACATGGTTTTCCTTCTCTTGCTGGTGATCACCATTAACTTCCATCAGGGGTAATCCTTCACTTCTGGGTTCACATCTCCAGAAAAGAAGCCCAGGGTAAGCAAATAAACTAATTTCATTTGGAGCGAGAACTTGAATCTTAGAACCAGAGGGACCACCTTCATCTATTCCAACCCCCTCTTTCACACAGAGGTGAGGTGATTAGCCCAAGATCACACCACCCCTTAGTGACCATCTTCTCCCAGGGAAGTTAAGTGGTGTCCTTTGGGTTCCCAGAGCTGTGCAGTAGAGCCCCCCCCTCAGTAGCAGTGGTCATTTGAAAGACTACTTGCTAAGCTCCTGAGCGCTTGGCCACCTATTCCAGGGTACCACCAGCAAGTCAGAGGGCTAGACAGGCCCAGGGGTGCTGCCAGCCAAAAGCACTCTAACTCCAACTGTGTGGAAAGGTTAGGACTAAAGCTGTTGATTATAGGACTACTGTCCCTTGGAACAGAGGTAGATGGGGCAGATAGGGAAGCGGAAGAAGAGGAGAAGCTCACTTGCTTCAGAGGCAGGGTGAAGGGAAAGGGCAGGATGAGGAATCAGCCAACACTGCTTCCCCAGACTTAAGTCTGCAGCCATCAGATGCCTAGCAACAACTATGTAGTGTAGCCGATCTTTCTAGATCTTCTGGCTGTCAACTCCCTTACACAACAGCCCTGTCCAAGGCTCAGGGCTTCTAAGTGGGGTCCAGAAGGAAAGACAGGGTTAGCTCTGAGGGCCAGACAGCAAGGTTAGGAGGTCAGTCTGCCTGACAGTAGTTTCCTCTTCAGCATTGGCGAGTGAAAATGTTCACCATGCTACCCTCTGTCCCTGCTTGTTCCTAACTCTCCTAGTAGTCAGAAGATTGCTTATAAAACAACTTATCCCACCCTACCATCACTCCAGCAGGCCCAGGTGGTGACCATCTTTTCCTTGTGAATTCTAGAGGAACATTTTGTGGTGGCTTTGTATGATTACAATGCAGTGAATGACCGGGACCTGCAGATGCTAAAGGGAGAGAAGCTGCAGATCCTGAAGGAGTAAGTTTCCAGAATGTCACCCTTGGTCAGAGGACTCTGTAGCTGTTTATTCCAGCAGGACTTCCACTCATCTATCCTCCTCACCTTACCTCTTCCTCCTTCAAAGGCTGATTCCAGAATATCTTCTCTATTGTCCTGTTCCCCAGCCCAATTAGCTAGCATTTTCTTAAACTTGGCCTAATTGTCTTCCTTCCATGTATCTTTCCAAAGTCTTTTGGTGAGGTAGTTTCCATTTGCTATCTCCTGCTCTGCTGTTAAACTCCTACTTATCCTTCAAAACCCATCTCAAACGTCGCCTCCTCCATGCAGCCTTTCTGACTCCCTCAGGCGGTAAGCCTCCCATATCAGTCCCTACAGCACTTGCTTGCTGCTCCATTAGAGTCTTGTATTTGAATCAGTTGTGTCTATATTTGTCTCTCTCATTGGACAGAAATCTTACATGGGATTCCACACGTGAAATCAGCTTTAGCTTATTTCCAGTGTTCCTTCTCAGAAATTCCACCGAAGTCTGCTCTCTCTCAAACACTGGACTTGTTCTTAGAGCACTGAGGGCTTCATTCTGTTTTTGAAGTCCTGCAGTGGTGTTGAGTCAAGAACATTAAAGCCCCAACCTTTAGACCACACATGGGCTGCCCAGTTCCTCCTGTTTTCATCTTTCCCAGACCAGTTCCAACACTCTCACTAAATTTTAAACAATGTCTGTAATTTTGTGCCTTTTATCAAGAGGAAAGCCTACTCACTAGAAGACAGGGGCCTCTTGGGTTTGTCAGATCGTCTAGGTAAACCCTTCCCCTTAGAGACTGCATCATCCGTCTTCCTGACCTGGACCAGGAGTACCTTTAGCCTGTGGATGCTCACTAAAGTAGAAATAACCCAGATAGCCACAGCATCAGTGAGCAACTTGTACAAGTTACTTCTCATCTGCCAGATTGTGTATTTTCGTGAATTATCTGCCTCCCAGAGATGAGATCATATTGTGAAGGGCTGTGAGCTATCCCAGGGAAAGGCCCATGTGAGCCATTATCCTATTTTTTTTTCTCCCTTCTCCCCCTTAGAACTGGAGACTGGTGGTTGGCCAAGTCACTCATCACTGGAAGAGAAGGCTACGTGCCCAGCAACTTTGTTGCCCGAGTAGAGACGCTGGAAGTAGAAAAGTAGGTGAACAAGCTTGAGGCTCCTTCTAAGCAGAGGCAGCAATCACTGCTTCTGCTGTAAAGGCTACCTTACAGTGGAATCAGCAGTGGGCTAAAAAAGTGAACCCTTGTGAACTCAGGAGGGGGAGGGAACAGAAAAGAGGCAGGGAACTGAAACTGCTGGCAAAGGATTATATACTGGTCCCAGATAAAACATCCCTCCTGGGTTTGAATCACCGTGTGATACTGAAGGAGTCCCTTCCCTGCTCTCCGCCTCATTCTTCCCATCTGTTAAATAAGAACCACCCCTTCCCTGGCTTAGTCAGTTGCCATCGAATTAACTGTGACTCATGGCAACCCCATCTGTGTCAGAGTACGAACTGTGCTCCAGGGTTTTCAATGGCTGATTTTTTGTTTCTTTCATGATCTTTATTGTTTTAGGTTTTATATTTAGGTCTTTGATTCTTTTTTTTTTTTTTATTGTACCTTAGATGAAGGTTTACAGAACAAGTAGTTTCTCATTAAACAGTTAGTACCCATATGGTTTTATGACACTGGTTAACAACCCCATGACATGTCAACACTCTCCCTTCTCAACCTTGGGTTCCCTATTACCAGCTTTCTTATTCCCTCTTGCCTTCTAGTCCTTGACCTGGGCTGTTGTGCCTTATTAGTCTCATTATTTTTTTATGGGCCTGTCTAATCTTTGGCTGAAGGGTGAACCTTGGGAGTGACTTCATTACTGAGCTAAAAGGGTGGCAGGGTCATACTCTCAGGGTTTCTGCAGTCTCTGTCAGGCCAGTAAGTCTGGTCTTTTTTTGTGAGTTAGAATTTTGTTCTATATTTTTCTACATCTCTGTCTGGGACCCTCTGTTGTGATCCCTGTCAGAGCAGTCAGTGGTGATAGCCGGGCACCATCTAGTTGTACTGGACTTAGTCTGGTGGAGGCCATGGTAGTT